CTCCTCTCACAGCTTTCTGGGAAAAAAATCAAGAGATCCTATGCAGAGTTATTTAAATTGCTTTCCTCATAAAAAGATGATTTATTTATCAACTTACTTCCTGCCGGAAACATCGATCAAGCTTTACTTTAAGTTCTGTACATTCACCAAAGAATTTTGCAATTGGATGGTCTAAATGACACTTCTGAAACTGCTCAATAATCTGCACAAAATCTTCTTAAACTTCAAAGGATGCTTCTACAACCTAAATAACCAGATGAGTAAAGATAATACTTTATAAGGTAAATTTTCAAATTAGTTTCTAAAATTTGATACTCGGCACAATCTGATCGTTGATGGTCTGTTTCGTTACAATTTGGTTCCTGACAATTTTTATTTGTTTCAAATATCCAAAATTTTCCATTCTCTAACATAAAAAGCTGAAACTGATTAGGTTATATCTGAACACTTTAAAAGATAACTTAAAAAAATGACTTTGACTAATTAATTAAATTAATAAATTAGTTTTTCAACTTTTTCCATTAAGAAATGAAAGAAAATTAAGTGTTAACATGAATGAAAATTATCGGAACCAACTTGTACAAGTGTTAAAGTTCTGAGAGTAAATTGGTAATTTGTCCTACTTTATAAAGCAAAACTCATAACAATAGAGAAGTTTTCCCAAACAGCCACCTCCAAAAGAAGAGGAGAACATGGCAGTCATGTTGGTTCTCATTTGGTTATGTTTAAAAATGACTTAGTAAATCTTAATTGCATCAATTTAGATGCATAAACCAATAAAACTCATTCTATAAATCTTATATTAGAAAACTGTCTAGGGGATTTAAATTGATGCTTAACTGAACATCGACAACTGCTTGCAAAGGTACATGATAGGTGACGACCAACTTTGGGAAAGATGGCCTTCTTCCCAGATTGACCCTTTTGCTCAGAGATCAAACTGAACCTCACCTCCCTAACCACAACTCCAATAAATAGAGTGAATATATATGCATATATACACACACTAGACCCCATATAAAAATGGAGAAAATTCATGCATATTGGAAGCATTCCATTAGGGTCAATTACTACAAATAAGAGAGCGAAAGAGAGAAACTCACTTCAGCACACATTTGGTGCCTATGCAATGTCAAAGGAGGATGCATTTCCAGCCCAAAGTTGAAGCTCTCCTATCCTACAAAATTAGAGACGTTCATTTTATCACCTCTTAATACTAAACACAAACCAAATAACAAACAAATGGAGTACCCGAATATATATAAATTTTTTTTCGAAATAAGCCGAATATGTATAAATTAAATCATTAATTAATGTTTAAAAAAATTTTCTTTGAGAAATCAACATTCATGGTTTTTTCCCAATTTAGTTGTTGAAATTTTTTTATTAGACAAAAAAGCAAGGCTGACTATTAACAGTAAGTTAATAATTAATATACTGATCCATCCATACATTACTTTGATTGGTGCAAACCAAATGAGTTACTGGAACTGAGATTATTACATCAGCCACTTTTCACAAAATTGATATAAATGAAAAACTTCTGCAGAAGTTTTACTTTAACTCATGCATTCATACAGCCAATTACTTAAAAGTGCTAGAATGCCATCAGGAAAAAGAAAATACAGAATAACACAGCATATGAGTATAAGTTCCTCTGTAAAGCTTTTAAGGTATGAACAAAGCTCTCCGAAGCAAAGCTAAGTCAGTAATGTTAAGAATCTAAGCAATATACACACAGGAACAAGCAAATATTCGTGCAGAAGCAATAATACATTAATAAAAAAATAACCCTGCTTAGCAGATGAACTAAGCTGCAACCAATTTTTATCCTCCATTTTCAAAGCTTCCTTGACATCTATCTATAAAGAAATTAAAGGCCCTTCTCACCTTATGAGGGCTCCCAACATCTTATACTGCAAAGCCAGAATCTTGAAAAAGAACCCTAAGGTTTCAATCAAGATTCATGTCTTACTAATCACTGAATATACTCTTAATGTAATGATGCACTCATTGATTTATAGCTTATAATCCCTTCTCTACTCTTGTCCACTCTTCTTCAATCTCTCAATTAAACTATGTGTACTGTATACATGTAGTCATTCATCGCCCACCAAAAGATAAGAAGCCTTGATTAAGATGGATTCTAATACACAAACACATACACAGAGGTATTACTTTTGGTAACATACAGAGAACCAGAGAAGGGGGTAGAGACTAGAAATGTGATTGACGAGAGGGAAGGAGGAGATATTGTATCTTTTTTCTTTTGGATAAGAAATATATGATTTTAGATTTATTTTGTATTCTGGAATGATGTAATTAGAGATGTAATAGGGTGAATATTATCCTCTCCATATGCCCTATTAAAAATTACTGGTTACCTATGCCCGTCTCGTACCCAAGACAAGTAGGTAAGCAACCCAGTTCCACCCTGGAATGCTACCTGCCAACCGTCTCATGACCTCTCCCCTCTCCCCTCTCCTCCTCCCCTTCCCCATAAAAAAAACACGTGTGAAGATGAGAACATATTTGATAATTTGGTTTGTGTCCCTTAAAATCTTCATTGCTTATAACTACTACCTAATATTTATCTTTTACTCTATCATAGACCAACATATAAAAAGTGTAACAAAGCATCCAAATTTTTCATTCCACCATTTATTCTGACTTGTTTAATTCATTTGGAATGGTGAAAATTTAAATATGATAAGACAAATAATCACCATTATTCTGTGCAGCAAAAAGACAAATAAACATGAAGATCTTTGTCGAAGGTAAACATCAATTCATTAAGAATAGTATAATATCCGTATACAGATCTTGCTGAAGATAGTCTCTGTACCAAGACTAAGGGTATGTTTGGAATAGATGAACTTTGTATGTACAATTTATTTGAACACTTATTTCAAGTGAGGAAGGATAGAAATTCTTTCTAAAATAAAAATTGACCTCTTAAGAATTACAAGTAGAATTAAAACAATACATGTTAAATTCTATCAATTTTAATAACATTTAAAATGTATTTTTCTAGTTCTACTCTTTCCAAGATTTCATCATTTGGAAGGGATTTTGTTCTCTCCCAATATTAATTTCAAATAAACTCTACAGTTCCAACGAAATAAAAAAACTATCACGTTGGAGCGTCAACAATCCTTCAGACTACTAATTTCTCCCATCAAGAATTACATCATAGAACTCAAACAACAATCAATTAGAGATATTTGAGCGTCAACAATCCTTCAGACTACTAATTTCTCCCATCAAGAATTACATCATAGAACTCAAACAACAATCAATTAGAGATATTTATTCATACTTGCATAAATTTGATGCCTGACTTGAAAACTTGAACTCGAAAACCCTAATAACACAAACTTTCAGCAAAGTAATATAAAAAATCCATCAACAAAAAGACAAACAAGAACAAACATGAACCCATAACTCATATTCATAGATATAGACTATAAACCAAGAGCCCATGAATCAAAAAACTGGGTTGCCGTAGATTTCCAAAAGGGGAACTCCATGCAGCCGCGGGCGCAAAGATTTGCCAACAGACAGCAACGAGCACTAGAAAGAAAGCGGCGTCTTGTGCGTTAAGAAGTTACCTAGGAGTAGAGCAGCGCAGGAACCGGTTCGGCGAGATTGGAACACCGGCAATATTAGAAACTGCCGCTGTCGAGACTGATCAATGCAGCACCGGGCTTTTTCGGGCGTCCGAGAAAATAGAAGGGACGAGAGAGAGTGAAGGAGATGGAGTTGAATGTAGCATGCTAGTGTATTCCTCATATAAATTGACGAATATGCCCTCAGTCTTTTGGATTATATACGTAGAGAGCCGTGCCGGGCTAAACTTAGACCACAAAAGAACTTTCCCTTGCTTGTTCTTCAACAGAAAATTTTCCTAAAAATTTTCTATTTCGATCCAAACGACCTGCCTAATCATGAGCAACGAGTAGTAAGTCGTTATCTCTTACTCCAAACACCCGTTCTTTTTCTTCCTTTCTTATCTGCCTCATTTTGTTTCTTCCTCCATTTGCTTTTGTAATTATTAATCATAATTCATACGCTGCAATTATGTAAATGCACTCCTTTTCTTTTTCAGCGACTATCTGTTTAAACTTTTGCTGATCGGAGACTCTTCTGTTGGAAAATCGTGCTTGCTTCTCAGATTTGCCGTGAGTTTGACCTCGTTAAAACTTAATTTTCCTTTTCTTTTTTTTTTTAAGTTTTGCAAGTAGTAGTTTGTTTAGTTTTTTCTTAAATCTTTGGTTGATTTTGGTTCTTTGGATATCCGCAAACGAGGCATTATTGAATATTCATGCGTTAGACGTTGATCTTTTAGTAATTAGGGTTTGAAGTTAACTTATTGTTTGGTTGTCATAAATTTTCCAGGATGATTCTTACGTAGACAGCTATATCAGTACCATCGGAGTTGATTTCGTAAGTAATTCACTCTTAAGTGTATGGAGGTTTATGTGCGTTTTCTTGTTGACGAACTTTGAAGTTATTAAGCAATTTTTAACAGAAAATCAGGACGGTTGAGCTGGATGGGAAGACAATCAAGCTGCAGATTGTGAGTTAATGCTGCTTTATTGTCAAATATATGCATTTCACTGTAATGTGGCTCTATTTATTACTTTTTTGGACATCCACAATATCATTCAGGTTTCTTTTTCTGTCTAAATTATCATTTATTTTGTTTGTTATGATGGGTTATGGAGTGATAAGCTTTCACAGTGCCTGAAGCTTGATAGACAAGCTTAAGAGTAGCGGTCAGTAGTTTCTTGAAGATATTGATTAACTTGAGGAGACTTATCAAAAAAGTAAGAAAACTTCAGGAGAGAAGGGAGCAAGGGTTGTGGCTCCAGTGAAATGGATACAATGATCCATCTGTTCCCAGGAGCTATGTTCTTCCTATCACATGGCATACCGCGGATTTGTTGGAGTTCTTGTGATTCTAAGGAATCTACATGCACTCGCACATACTCTAAAAACAGATGCTTGTTGGCGTAGTTTAGATTTTCCAGTTGACCCAAGTTGTGTTTTGTGTCGTATGTCTGTTACTTTAATAGTGTGTATTTGATGAACTTGTTTGGCACTTCTCCTGCATGACCCCAAAAAGTTACTTGCATTCTAAAGACGCTTCAGATGTAAGGTCAACTTCCATGCCAACCTAGTTGGGTTGACTTCACTGTTTTATTTTGTTTTTCAAAATATCCGATGTAAGCTTATATTTGAGATAGCTTTCAAAATATTTCTCTTGTGGGCTGGAATCATCGTTGAGGAATTGATATTTTCATATGCCTGTTACAAATCCACGCATAATGCATTGAATGGCCACCCTTGTCAGCATTCACATGTATAACCACTCCTTCGTGGCCTCAATTTTGCATCAAAGAAATTCTTCCTGGACGGTATGAACTATAATTGCTATGACTACCAAGTCAAGGAATAATTCTATTTTCCTTAAATGAGAATTTATTTGGAACTAGCGCTCTTGGCAAATGTCATGTTCTATTAATTGGGAATAAGATGTTTATATAACCAATCACTTAACATGACCATAGCTTATGTGTTATGGGCTCACTTCTTTTTCTAACAGCCAGCTGTAATTATTAGTATCTATAACCAGCAAATTAAGGAATAACTGAATAGCCGTAACTATAAGGAGTGATTTATGTGAGAAAAAGGACTCTTTCCAAGTTTTATTTTCTACAAATCAGGAATGAATATAAGAAAAAATCAATTCAGCTGAAGCAGACATTGTATCAAACCCTGAACTTTCAAGAAATTCAATATTGATATTCATGATTCAGCAATTTGGAGAGACTTATTGGTTTTTGATATAGATTACTACATCTGCATCGTTGAAGTGATTATTGGAACAATGTTTGTCATTTTTCTTTTCCAAAAGCCTGACAATTTGCTCGCAAACAAATCTTTCCTTATTCTAACTGCTTTCTTGTTTTGGTACAGTGGGATACTGCTGGACAGGAACGTTTCCGGACTATCACAAGCAGTTATTACAGAGGAGCTCATGGAATCATAGTGGGAACTTTTCTTTATCATTTTGGGATTAGAAACTGTTCTCCAACTGTTTCCTTTACCCCCTATTTTGTTTTAGGGTTTTCTCCCTTATTTTTCACGGGTTTCACTTCAATTATTAAAATGGGATTCTTCAAGTGTCTGAGAATATATTGCAACAGATTGTCTATGATGTAACTGAGATGGAGAGCTTCAACAATGTCAAGCAATGGTTGAATGAGATTGATAGATATGCAAATGAGAGTGTATGCAAGCTTCTAGTTGGGAACAAATGTGATTTAGTTGATAACAAGGTTGTTGACACCCAAACTGCTAAGGTAAAGTATGTGATTTTGATTCATGGAGCATTGACTTATTTATTTTAAATATTCTCAATAGTCTTCCTTCTGCCGAGTGAGTCTGTTGTAAGATGCTCTGTGTAGTTTATTATTTGCCAAGTTGGAAGCTTTTGTACCAAGTGCAACAATTTATTTAATAAAGTTGTGCTAATGTTATTGATTAGTTTGCATATGATCTGCTTTTTTCAAAATAGCACAACTAGGCCTCGTCATAAGATATCTTATATGTTCATGAATATGATAGTTTGTTGATGAGTATTGAATTTTCTTTTTGATAAATGAGTGCTGAGAATATTATTTGGTTAAACTTTGTTTTATTGTCCCATACTCAAACTGCAGGCTTTTGCGGATGACCTTGGGATCCCATTCCTTGAGACCAGTGCTAAAGATGCAATCAATGTCGAACAGGCTTTCTTGACCATGGCTGGTGAAATCAAGAAGAAGTATAATTACTATTCAACTTTATCTTGCGATACCTTTGATTTTCATGATTGCTTGCCAATTTGAATATGACAATTTTTTTTTGTTTCCAGTTATCAATTTGACTCAATGTTGCATAATATTGATTTTTACGAAAATTCAAAAAGTTATACAAGGACCAGAGGGATAATCATTGTCTAGGGAAATTTATGATTTGCTTTTCCTTGTGGGCACCTGCATTCTAAAATGAAAGATAGAGAAATCAAGTTTCAGAATTCATGAGAACTGAATGCTTACTTCCATTTCTCCTTAGTCTCACATAATTTCCTTTCATTCCTTGGTTGATGGTGAGGAAAACAGTTGAGTTATGGTCTTTTTTTAAAAAAACAAGAATAATGATGAGTTATAGTCTTGTTATTGACCATCAGGTTGTTATCTGACCAATCAGATTATGATCAATAATAAGATCAGCTGTACAGGCTCTTTTCTTTTCATCTGTTGCTTTCTCGATTTATATTTGACCCTCCTACCCTGGAAGTGATAGATGTATGAAGCTCCGTCATCTCTGCTAAAAGATGATGAGTTCTCTGTTAATAGAAATGTGATAGATCTATTAAACTGCCAAGATTGAAACAAAACCATCAAACAGTTGGAAGGCATTCTTCTTGTGGTGCATGAAACTATATTATTTGCAAATGGCTGCGAACCATCTATATCATGAAAACAAGTGTTATATTTCGAAAACATCATTTGATTTTTTTTTTTTTTTTTATAATCATGTTAGGCTATTCTAAATGTCAACTTTTCCCTTAATTTTGCAGAATGGGGAACCAGCCAACTGGTAATAAGTCAAGTGGCAATGTTCAGATGAAAGGACAGCCAATCCAACAGAACAGCAACTGCTGTGGTTAGCCAATTGTCTTGTAATTGTTAGTTATATTATCAAACTTAAGGCAGGAAAACTGTGGGACTTAATGGTAAAAATCTTTTGGAAACTCTAAAATGGTGTCTTGTTTAAGCTTTGAACTGAGTGAAAATAGAAGTTCTACAATTGTTCATTGAAGTCTAATTTCTATCCATTTTAATGGACTTTGCCAAATTAAGAAAAGAAATATATAACATATCTTGCCCGGCCGGCAATTGAGAGATCTTGATATGCCTTAGTAGAATTTTTACGAGGGAGAGGTATCGATGTATCTTCAGGTGCAGGGTTAGGAAGAATTGTTGCAGAACTGTCGTCGACAGAGACTTCAATGCATCAGTTAGGTGAGGAATAAATCAATCTCATCAATCATCAACCAGGAAGTATACATGAGTATTGATAGAATTAATACTTATCCATCTTCTTAACTAAGATCAAGAGTATTCTTAGACCTGCAATTTAGATGCCACTTTTTTGGGCTACTGAGAAAATATTTACATAATTTTTTTTTTTTTTTTAAAACTAAGAACATCTATTTCATTCCATTATTTATCTCCCAAAGCCGCAAAATTTTCTCCCTTAAATTGATACATAATTGATGGAATAAAAATGGATGTGAAATCTAATTTGGTTGAATAACTAAATAATTCACATTTTTTATTATATTTACGGATAATAAGGTTATTATTGTGCTTTTAAAGTACTCTTTTTCATTTATAATCAAGTAATGAAAAATATTTTTTTTATTATATTTCATTACTAACTTATCCATTTCATTCAATAGAGTTTAATTTTATTCTATTCCTGTCCATTATACTAGAGACTGAATAACCTACTGTAAGTAAAAAAAAAAAAAAACAATCAGTATATTATTTCAGTTCTACCCTAATTAGATTCTCTCTCTCTCTCTCTCTCTCTCTCTCTCTCTTCCCCTCAATCAACAAGAGTACAAATACAAAGAAAAGAATAATAAGTGCACCATATATTATATGCAAGTTATGACTCTTTCAAAAAAAGTTCACAGATGATATGATACAATTGTATTAATGAAACTGTATTAATACACTTAATAAATAGTGTTTCATGAAAATATTTTCATAGATGGTGAATGAAACATTTTCTTTCATATTTGAAAACTATGGATCCTAAGTACATGTCTATATTTTGTTTTAAAAATAACAAGCAGCCATGTAATATATTTCCACTCTTAGAAACCAACACTATCAAGAAAAAAGGTTACTATGATGGTCATAACAATTTGGTACAAACAAATGCATGTGTCGAATCTAACAAAAAATTGGAAGTCCACATCTCTTACCCTCAACCCAAAAAAAGGAGGCAAAAATAGGAAATTTTAATCAACACATGAAAGTATATAGCAATAACAAGCTCTTGATTGAAATATATATATATCTACAGAAACCTATCTATCACTACAAAGCTAGTGTAACATGATCTGAGCTTGAGGAACGCTCAGTGCAGCAACCGGAGCAACAAGAATGAGCAAATCTTAACAAAAAGATTCAAGGGTCGATTAGTATCTACTGGATGAACCAGATTGCGGCGGTGCCGGTGGCAGCCTAGTGGGAGTGGTGCGGCGACTGTTGTTTGAACCTGAGCTCAGATCACCATTCTGTGCAGGATCACTGTTTCGGCGACTGTGACCATTAGCCCCATATTTTGATGAGTCGCGATACGTATCGATAGGCCCATTAGCAGCAGCATTAAATGCAGCTCTCCAGTCATCTCCTGATGATGGTCCGCTGGTCCTCGGGCTGCTTTCTATACACACAAAATACAGAAAATAAGCAGAGCACGAAGATTTTCTTGCTGAATGGATTATGATTGTGGCTCGGCATCCCAATTGGAGGAGTGGGCAAAATGACATAAACAAGATCTATTCTGTAAAACAAATCAGAAAAGTCTTACCTGTAGCACCACCTTCAGACCAGCTGGAGGCAGCAGCTGCTCTGTTATCATGAATGCTAAGTTGCCGTGTGAGTTTTGAAAGAAGTGAGGATTGTCTCTGGTACCGCTCCCTCCTACGCTTTACATTCTGATCCTCCATCAGCAGCTCCTCAATTCGTGTTGTGCTTTGGGCACTGTATGTTCATACACAAGCAAAGTTAATACAGTTTATTAAGAACCACTTAAGAGAATTAAAGGAGAAGGATAAGCAGCCCAAGGGGTAAATTTTCTTTAACAAAAAATGTATCTTTAGAGCATCACAAATATGCTATTTTTTATAACCTAGACATCGTGTAACTACAGAGACATAACTTCAACAAACTATACAACCAGCTGTTACACATCAAATACTCATTTTGACCCCCTACCCCCACCCCATATTCTCCAATATCCCTCCCACATGTAAGTGATGGAATGTGAAACACTAAATGACACTACATTTTGACTGGAGGACATACTTCGGTATTGTTTGTTACAGGATTTGAGCTGAATTCAAGCAAAAATTTTACAGTTGGCACATGTAATGGTGCTTTTTGATGTCTTATGATCTAAGCAAATTTACTAATAAGTAGAAAACAGAAGTTGTTTTCGTTTATACTGCTTCAAAATGTAAACTTAAGGTCATTGAAAATTCAGATAAACCAAACCTAACCAGACTCTAGACCACATGGTATTTTGATAAATTCCCCAATTTAACCAAGGTATGGTCCAAGTCTAGGTGTCAATGAAACTATTTAAAAAAAAAGAAATTAAACAAAAAAAATAAGCTGTCTGCAAAACACACTAACCTAATAGAACTGTATAACTGATTGAGCATATCTTCTTTGGCTTTTTCTACTTGGCAAAGAACCACCGCCTGTTCAGCCAAAATGATTAATGATTAAAGAAGCATATCAACAAAAGAGAACAAACAAACACAAACTGCAGTTGGCATTTTCAATAGTCTAGTAACCTTTGGAACATTCGC